TATATTTTAACAGTTTGCTTTTAATAAGTTGTTACTTAATATTTATACTATGTTATATTTTATACAATATTATAATATATATATATATATATATATATATATATATATATATATATATATATATGTCAATGTTGTTTATTTTTAAAGAATATTACTCTTTTCTTTTTGAACATTGTAATGATACGTGGTTCGGTTGAAATTACATATTTTTATATGAGACTTCCGCTCCCTCTAGATATATGCTTTTTAGTCTTGTTGCAAAGTACCTGAATCGAAATAAAAACACAACTTTAAACAGAAAATATCCCTAATTTTCATGTAAATATATTTTATTTGTCTTGCTTATATTTCCATAATTCTTATTTGAAATTTAGACACACATTCTCGAAAAATACACAGCTTTGTTTTGAATGAATGTGTAGTCGGCCCAGATTTACCGAACCGTTACTTAACGAATTGCAAGGTTTAACAAATTACTCTTTCCCCAAAGAAAAAAAAAACTAACGAAACAAAAGCAAAAAAATCCCTATGTATCGAATAATAAACCTAAATTAGCGACTCATTTCAACAGCTGCAAAAATTTATTTTGTAAGTTTGTCTACAAAGAAATTGGATTATTTTTTTCGTATGACACATCATTTTTGTCCGGAACTGAAAAATTGTTTTCTTGATAGCAGAAAATTTCTACAGGAAATGGTACAAATCATTATTAGACTAAACAAGTGAAGATGAGATATGAGTTTATCCTATTGTGTGAGTTTTGAACAGGACAGGAAACTCCTTTTTTATTTCATTCCACTCCACAAAGCAGGAGGTATTTTAAGATTTTAACTATTATGTTACATATATATATTTTATGACGAAGTGCCATATGTGCATTTGAAGTTGAGGAACTTGTTGATTTGTTGGAGCAAATGAAAAGCGATTCTGATGCAGAAATTGATGGTGAAACTCCTCTCAAAACTGTTACTTTTCTAATGCTTTAGATTGCTTGGAAGCTGCGAAAACATACTTAATGCCGCAGGATGTAAACGATGCAGTATTTTCTTGTCTGCATAAAGTTGGGGGAAACTCTTTCAAGTCAGGAATCAAAAAAATTTCCGTATTTCAAGTATGCCAATATATGTCAGTATTTTAAAAAATTCCAATTAACTGGTGCGTAATTATTCGCTAACAGTATTTTCAGCTTCTGAATAAAAAGTGTGTAATTTCTAACAATTGATAGTGTTGGTACCTTGTACACTTCCACTGTTGTCGCTTGACGCGCTCCCAAATGACTTATCACTTCTACGGCTTCACTCATACCGAGCGGTCGTACCAACCCAGGGGGGGTGTCCAGTCGTATGAAAATATCTCTTATCATATTAAGTGTCTCTTTGTCTAATTTTACTTTAAATCGAGAATTTATTGATACGTTGTTGATACTAATTACCCATGTTGATCATAATAAATCGTTGTTTGTTTCGGATTAAAGATTTATTTCTCTTATTTGAGTTCTATCGACCTTAATTTTACTGTCGGCATCCCCTCGCATTTAAGCCACCCCCCCCTCCCCTCTTTTTTCAGATAGCTTTGTGTAGATGCTTATTATAGAATTTTCGAAAAGGTAAGGGCAGAAATTTTGCATTTTGATTGAACTGCGATGTAATGAATAACCCCAAATTAGTGAGCAAAATGTTCGGTCCAGTTAAATTCGTTAAATTGGGGTCCTACTGTGAACCAAAATCTCCAATTAGCATTTTAGTTTAGAAATGGTGTTTTTTTTGCACCAGAATAATTGAATAGAATAAGTTATGTGATGAAACAATTTATTCTCTGTAGTGTAGTGAAATCAAAGCATCATATAAATGTTATTTTTATCTCAAAGTGTTCTGAATTCAAGTTCTGTTTATTCTTTGGCATTACTCGTAAAAATGGCCACTGATGTAAAATCAAGAATTAAATTACTTTTTCTTAAGATTACAGGAATTAATTTAAATGATTGAATGAAACGCGCGCGCGCGCATTTTGGAGTTTAGAAAGACAAAAAATCCAATTATCAAAACTTTTTGGTAAGAAATCATTTTTTTTCTGTGTTTAACGATAAATGTGTTTTATATAGTAATTTGCATTTTTTTCTCGTTTATTTCGAATAAGAAAATAATTCCCGATAAATTAGTTTAAATATCTATGCATGATATTAAGTAGGAGTTTTACATTAGTAATTGTTTGAGAGAGAGTGAGACCAATTTTTAACTTTTGAATAATAACCAACTTTTGAAGCTTAATAACTCAGAAACGTCTATGCAATATTTTAGAAAAGTTGTATTTTATAATTATTTTATATTTTAGAAAAGTTATATTTTATAATTATTTTACAGTGAGAAATAAACCAAGCGATGAAAACATTTGTATTCTAAATGAAAATTAATGTTAAAATTAATGATATATATTAAATAAAAGTTAGTTAACTCATTAACATCATTATTAGCTCATATTTAGCCTATTAACAGTGATATAAATAGTAGCTAACTATGATAAACCATGCTAAATTTTTAACTTACGGCTGTGGTAGAATGAACAGGTATTTCTTAGAAGAGCATTTACTTATGTGTGGCAAATATATAAACTATAGAAAGAGCTATTTGTTTTTAAAAAGATGCAAATTAATACGTTTACATTTTAAGTCGTATTCGCAATGCGTATACGAAAATATGTTCCAAATAGATACATAATAGCATAGACGTCTTGCGACGAATCTATACGGCACCTCCTACACAAAATTAGACGCCTCCTAGATCCTTAAAAGTAGACAGTACATTGTATACGCTGTCAAAAACTCATACAAACAAAAACCGGAAACAAATAAATGTACGTGACTTAAAATCGTACAAACTGGCTCCAGCGTCTACCACATTTTGACTGAATGAATACTGATGTTGTATGGTGGTAGGCCACGGCCTGTCCATGGACGATGATCAGGACTCGTAGTCAGTTGCCATATCGCCCGAAATTTGCACTTTTTAAGAGAATACAACTAGATATAGCATTTGACCCTTTGGACTTGTTTGAATTATGATCTTATTATGGCTGAGTTCAGTACGAGACGAGGCCCTCTCAATGTGGCCGAGCTCTTGGGCCTGGGGCCAGTTGGCCTATGCTTTAAGACGTCCCTGCATTATAGTTTTGTTACTATTATTTTAATTCTTTATTTATTAGCAATAGCAACTCATTTTTATTCGACAGTTGCTGATTTTTTGAAAGTAATATAATTACTTTATACAGAAGAGAATTTTCATCAGGCGTAATCAATAATGTTTAAAGGCATAAACTAAAATTCAGTAAAAATCTCTTTAATCGAAAACTAAGTGAGTTAATGAATGAATAAATGAATATTAAAGGGGAATATATTATTCATTTTTAAAATTCTGTTTCTTCATGTTTCTATTTCGCGTAGTTGTTTGATAATATTAATAGAAAATCAATTACTGTTTTTCAATTTTCTGCCTCATTTAAAATCTGTTTTCCTATATCTTATCTTTCATTTTTTTTTTCTTTTATGAATTTTCCCACCGATTTAAAAATGCATTTTCGGGAGAACTACACTTTATTTGAAATGTGAAATTATAATTTCTGAAATTATACAGTTCTAATATAAATTATTCTTAAAAACGATATCCAGTGCTAAAAGAAAATATTGCAAGGAACAATGCTAAGCAATTAATATTCCTATCTTTCTTCTTCCTTCTATAACTAGTTTCGCTTTTATTTTCAAAGAAGGGTATTTTTAAAGGCTGGCTGCGTATAATTTAAAAGAAAAATTCAATGCTGGAATTATCTTTGTTTTCATTATACTTCAAACTTTTTGAGATTCATTCAAACATGAGTTGGGTAATCTGAAAGAAAGACATATTCATTATAGGTTACTACATTCCTTCTCGTTGAAACGGAAAAATTGGCAATTATTAATTTATATAAAATGACATTTTCGTATATTTTCTGTAACCAACTAGGAAAACATTTATGTGGCTCATATACGAGTATATGATAATCTCTGGTATTTATATATAACAGTAAAATTACTTTCTTCAAAGTCTGTTAGAATGGAAATAAACTCTTATAAATTAAACTTGAAAATTCAAATGAATATTTTAAGCATTATATCTTATGTGTAATGATTATATTTTACTTGCAGTGATTAGGCTGCATTATTATGTAACAAGTGCACTATTTTTATAAACGGATTAATTTGCTTATATTTTATAATTGTGATTCATCATATTATGGGAAAATGACTACAGCCTAAGGATGATAAATGCTTTATTTAACAAGACGAAGGATGAAATATCTAAAATATATTAAACAGCAAAGGAGAACGTCTTTCTCCTACGTCTAAAGCTTAGCGTCTCTAACGTCCGTCTGCGTCATTTCACGTGTAGTCCATTTGTCGAGCACTACTGGCGGGGTGTGATGTCAGTGTGGACTGCTCCACCCTAAGTAACAGGGGGAGGGGTTGTGACATTGCACATATCCAACCCTACAATATTATATTTTATAATTTATTTTATATTAAAACGATGAGTAGATGAAATTATGAGTTTTTTTTTGTAGAGGAAACATTTTTCAACTAATATGTGCTATTAGCACCAAAGATCCATCAAAAGTTATTTTATAAACACATTAAATTACAAAATAATTGACTTGACTACAACAGTCTGATTGAATTTTAATCGATCTCATTTTGAAGCTACATTTGTGCATGCCATTGTAAATCTCTTATAGAACAACTGATTAAATTATGTCTGAATTTATTTTCAATGTTTTGTACCCCATTAAGAGCATTTGGATTTGATTACACAATACATTCGATTAAAATCCTTGTATTTGATTAAGTTATAATTAATACTGTTGGCTCAAGTATTTATGGTGAATGCATAATGTGTAATAAACAGATAAATCATTAATAATTTCGAATAAATCTGAGTCAGTGTCTTCTAGATTCATCAACCATATAGTTCTAACAGTCATACCATGCTGAAAACACCGGTTCATGTCCGATCACCAAAGTTAAGCTTGATCGGACGCGGGCAGTCATTTAACGAGTATTCACCTGGGAACATCACGTGCCGATAGAATTTTGGTCAGATCAGTGGCTTAGAAATAGCATGCCCGTCTCGTAAGTCCAAGGTTACGGGTTCAATCCGGGCTGAAGTCTTTAGATTTTCTGAATGCGAAAATCGTAGGCCCACATGTCATATGATTATGTGACATGTAAAAAAAGCCATTGAGTATCATTTTGGCTCTGGTACTCTCGACAAAGATAAATCGCGGCAATATTTAGCATCCAATGAGAGCTTGAATTAAATAATTGCAAGCGTCAAAAATTTGGTGGTGGGAGACCCCCACCATCTACCAATAAAATGACTCTTACTCTTAAGGTCTTGCCGTTTCTGCTTAAACTGCCTAAATGCAGTCCGTTAGCAACAAAGAAACTACAGTCCGACCTCTATGTAACGAAGTCGCTAAGTCCCGAAAAGAAATTCGTTATATGGAAAATTCTTTTGTATCATCTTACAAATTTTCTGTATAAACCACATTTTAAACTCTCAAACACTAAATATTTAAAAAGTAATTTTTCACATCCTTTTGTAATTTAATATACATATACATTTAATATATCTTACCTATAGAAAAAAAACCTAGAAGAAAAATTCTAACCTTCATGAATTATTATTATTATTTTTGATGCTAAAGCACTTTGTTCTGACATTTTTGAGTTACAAGAAACGATTTTACCAGTAGGACTGATCAGCACTACAAATGGATGGAGACTAGTTCTAGGACATGAGACACCACTGATGGTGGAAGGGTATGTCGAAGCTGTTTCCTGTGAACTGGATAATGAGGGTTGAGAGTTGCCATTCTTGGGTCAAATGCCAAGAATTCTATTGCTCTCTGCGAGTTAGGTACCTAATAAAACCATTTGAAGATTTTTATCACTACCATAAAATGAGTTAAAGGAGAGAATAACTTGAAAGCTCCAGAAATACTTTAAAAATATTGAGTTCGTTATACAGAAAATGCACTTTTCTATTGGGAATTGCTATATTTCACGAAGAAAATCGTGAAATGCTCTTGGTTCCAGGAAAAGTTCGCAATATAGAGGTTCAACTGTATATACTTTAAATTTTATAATTTTCCTGAATCATATCAATTGAGTATTGTTTCAAGACATTTGCCTCGAATGTAGTTAAAATCTGATTCATTCATGCAAACTCAAAGTATCGTCGTACTCAGGGGTCGGTGACCTGCTGCTCGCGAGCCACATGCAGCTCTTTAGCTCCATACGTAAATATTATTTATCTACACTACTAAAATTCGTAGGTAAACAAACGTATCTGTGCGAGCAACTTTGCGACTAGGTGTATCTTCTCACGAACCGCACGACGCAGAAACTCTCCTAAGGTACCAAAATATCGGGAATGATCTGAAAAATCCGTTTTGACTATTTATATTTCAATATTGCAATTAGTTAGAAATGTATTAATTAAAAAGCTTAAAACGCTTAATTATATTGCCATTTTTCCCGCCAGGCGGTGAAGCTCCAATTTTTTTCGACGTTTTCTTTTCTATAAATATTTTTTTCTAGTGCCATATATATATTATCTAATTTGTTGTAAAAAACACTACTTATAAATGAATAAATATATATTTTTTCTTATGAATAAATAGATTGTTTTTTTTTTATCAAAAAAACTTTATTTTTGCAAGTACTATTTATTGTTGGAAAGAAAATTTTTTGTGGCTCTTTAAAAGTTTGAAATTTTTGTAAATTGTAATTTTTGGCCCTTTCGACTCAAAAGGTTGCCGACCCCTGGTCGTACTGAGTGTTACTGCAGAAATTTTCTAACTATCACTTTGGCCTAGTGGCCATGGCCGCGAATTCGAGATCGGCGTTGTCCAATCGTGAATTCAAGAGACCAGCTCAGGTGTCGTCCCCTTGACTTGACCATTGTTCAGAATTATGAGATCCATTGTTGACAGCCCTCGTGTATTTTCAAAGCGCCATTTTAATAAAATAGCAAGCAGGAAGTTTCTAATAATATTTTTTTTCAGAGTTTACTATCATTACTGTGAACTATGCACATAATTTATTGGCTTATATATCTTTGGTGCCTGAGTTTCTGTTTCTGAAACTGTATATAGAAAATTTATTCTTCATTCTATCCATCTTGTATTAATTTTCTATCCTTCTTTGTTTTACAAAAATATTCATTTTAATATCTGTTCTAAATAAAATATTTTTAAATAAAATATGTGTCTTGTTAAACTCTGTGTGCTGAATAAATAACATGTATATATTTAAATACATAGTATACATTTTCAAAATAAAAACCTTTGAGTGTAAGATGAATGTTATTTGTTGGTATTAATTCAAGGATCAAAAGATTTATAATATACGTATGTATGAAAATGAAAATTTTTTTGTGTTAAGGGTTGTTATGAACTTGTAAGAATATGCCTCGTCCGCCCTATTTTAAAATTAGCTCTATGCTTTTAAATAACTTTTCTTTCTGTAATATTTAATCTCTACTGTATAAAAATTACTGTTTTATTTATTTGTTTTTCTTTTATGGATATTTTAATTAATTGATATTGATATCTCGTATATTTCCTCTTGTAATAGCTATATTTATCTCTGAATGTTATGGTAGATCCAGAAATGAATATCAGAGCAAAATATTTATTTCAAATTCATATTAAGACTTTTACAAGAAGAATGTTGAAACTCCTTCACAACTGAAGTTTTACCAAACTAAAACTTATAGTCACATTGTGTCTTTTTTCTCAATGTTGTTCTAGATGTTGAGCAACCAATGTATGCACCGTATGTTAAATAAAGTTTTACTGAGACGGAACAGAATAGAACAGAACTGTAGGGAAGCAAGCAAGGATTCCATGACAGCATTCTTTCAACGCAAGAAATAAAACTAAATTCTGTAGTTTGTGTACAACATTGTCCAGTCCATACAGTCACGACACTTTTGTTTGTAATAGTAGTTTTATGCATAACGACCTGCTCTTTTTGACTGAGATGGCGTGGTTCGGGTCACGCAATTCGTTACTTTCTCACATTCTAGGAATTATGTTGGAATTTATGCAGGAAGACAAGTATAATAGGAAATACCCTTGAGCGAATTAAAAAAGGATATTTTTTTAAAAAAATTTTGTAACATATGAAAAATATAATAACTGTAAGAAAAATAAATATTGATTCCCTATTGTATAGAAAGGTTGTTATTACGTATACATACTAAAATATTTGTATGACTTTAAAATATGTGTGCTACTTAATGGTTTGAAAAAATTCCCAATTTTCATAAATGCTTTCGTATTATATACTCACTAATATATCTTTCTAAAAATCCATTGAAAATAAACTAAACATATTTTCTTGAACAGCTGGAACAGTTAATGTATTCGTTTTTTTTTGTTAAATTTCGTTATAACTAAACAAATAAACTCACTGTATATTTTTTTGAATTTTTCTAAATCTCGAATGACAATACCTTTGAATGTTGATAACCCAAATTAATTTTTTTTGCCCAAGAGATTAAATGGCAAATACCTTTTTATAATAGAAATAACGAAAAGTCAAAATTTTTTTTTCAAATTATCCTACAAATTGTATATCCTTTATGGGTATGAGCTACAACTTTCACATATACCGTTGTAGCCCAAGCCCATAAAAGACATACAATTTGTAGGATAATCCTTTATGGGTTTGAGCTCCAACTTTCACATATACCGTGTGGCCGCGGTAGCCGAGTGGTATAGGTATCGGATCGTAGCTTGCCTGGTTACGAGCTCGAGCCTAGTACCACCAAAGACTCGCTGTGTAAGGCAGCGATGCACGTTAAATCTGTCGAGAGCTAAAACGTCCTCCCTTTGGTGTGGTGTGGTTGTTAGTGCCAGCTCAGGTGTCGTCCACGTCACTTGACCCTGGTTCAAAATTACTTGGTCCGTCGCCAAAAGCCCTCGTGTAGCTGAACAGTGCGATGTTAATATTCAATTATTCAATCAATCAATTCCCATATACCGTAAAATCTACGGTATAACGCGCACTACTGTGTAACGCACTTTTAAACTTTAATTTTTAGACTCGCCGTGTATAGCGAGCCCCCTTCCCCCATTTTTTACGAAAAAATCTGAAATGTACTTGAACAATGCTGTTGTTTTGAAGTCATTTATTCGAGGTATTATTCCAAGCTTTAGAAAAAATAGAATACTTCTAGAATTACAACGCTTTAAGTTCATAAGGAATGTCATTTTTTCTAAATAAATATCTAGTACATGTAAAAGTTTAATTTTTTCTGTGCGCTCATCTTTCTTTTTTTAAAGCTCTCACGTTTATACCCGGTGTATAACAGGCAACCTGAAATTTCGGTCTTTTTTGTGTTAAATTCGCGCGTTGTACGCCGCATTTTACGGTATATACGACAAAAGTTTATAGGCAATTGCTTTAGCTCGAGACTGTGAAAACGGAAAATACTGGAGGTTTGCAGAAGTTAGGAGAACTATATTGACTAATGATTTCAGCTAGTTTAATTACAAGCAATAAGAAGCTTTAAAATATTATCAATCAAATTTGTTCATTTTTAAAATTTTAGGATAATTTGGATAATTAGAGTTATTGGTAATAACAGTAACGATCTTTATAGATGATGAATTATCAGTAAATCAATATAAATCAACACACACACACATCCGATTTCCTCTTTCACGACTAAGGTATTCTCTATGTAGAATAATTATATTAATCTTTTTTAACTGGCCTTAAATTATAACAGCGTGGTACTCTGAAAACATTCGGTATTAATATAGTAAGAATGGTATTAATATAGTGAGAATGGTATTAATATGGTAAGAATAGTGTGTGTGTGTGTATTTTAATATGGTAAGAATGGTATTAATATGGTAAGAATAGTATTTTAATATGGTAAGAATGGTATTAATATGGTTAGAAAAATATATTATATATATTCATGAAAAAAGTAAATGTAAAATAATAATGATATATTTTTTTCTGTATTTTTAAATTTATTTTTTTAAAAAAGGATTTATTTAC